TACATAATTTATATTACGAAATATAAATCATTTATTGCATTTTAAGCATGTGTTACTGAACTCGTACGTTGCGCATTGTCATTGATTCGTTTGCATTTCAGTGTGTAAACCGATTCTACTCGTTTGTGAATATGCTTTATGTTGCTTATATACATATGTGTTGTGCGTTTATGTGAATTGGATTTTATTCGTTTACGTTTATAAGTAAAATGCTTGGTCAAAATTTTGTCTAAATTTGAATTTATACAAACTCATTAATAAATTCTGAATTCCAATTTCAACTTGAAATTCTCGCCTCGATAGTCTTATTACAATCGCTTATACACCATGTTTGTGTGTGTGTGTGTGTGTGTGTGCGCGTGTGTTGTGCGCGTGTATATATATATATATATATATGTGTGTGTGTGTGTGTGTGTGTGTGTGTGTGTGTGTGTGGGTGTTTGTGTCTTCCATATAGTCTGAGCATCGGACAATGTTTTGTACAGTTCCATGTTCACTACAATCTAGTTAACGTCTGCAATGAGAATTCGATTTACATCAATTTGCATGTCTTCCATCTTCTTTATTCCATCTGTTTCTTTTGAAATCTCCTCGAATTAGACTACCGGTCTTCTGTAGCATTTCGTAGTAGCGGCAGCGACGACTACAACAACAATGGCAGCAACAGCTTATCCAAAACTGAATTTAAAGTCTGACTTATGTTGTTCAACTCGCCTCTCCTCAGGTCATCCTCTGATTTCCAGCATTTACTTCACAATCTAACTGGCTAATTCGTATTGCGTATAATAATTCAGCTCAATGTTTAATTCATTTTGTTACATTTTCCGAAGCATTTTCGCTTATTTTGTGTATATACTTTGCAGTACGTATATTTCAACTTTACGTTTTGTGAATTGGCGTATAAGAGAAAGAGATCTGAGTGGTTCGATGTTGGTGGGCCCAGGAAACACTTTATCATCACCAAAATCTGGTAAATTTGTCATCCATGAGCTAAAATATCAAAAATAAATCGAAAATACACCGTTGTTTAATTGATTTTCAATATACGGTTGAGGTGCGATGTCAAAACGACATAACGTACATTAAAGGTGAGACATAACGTACATTAAATTACAATACTTTTTGGGCAAGGGAGCTTGTGCTTGTTCGTTAGTTCGTACTTTTTGTTTTTATTATTTTTCGTTTTAATTTTAAAATGGTAATATACCGATCATATATCGACTATAGTTTAGTTAGTACATCAAGCTGTAACAATGATCAGAGAGAAAGAGAATTTTTTTTAATAAGTTCACACATTTGCGGGCTTTTGTGCAACGCATACACAACATAATCTGGAAACGTTTTCCTATTGCCTACACTGCAGCAAATTATTGAAAAACATTATAATGCTTGCTCGTCGTTTGTTCAAACAATATAGATTGCAATATAAATCTGTTTTCATAGTTCGAACTCTACTTTTCCGTGTATGCATTTAGTTTCTTGCAGAGCCGTTCGGCAATTGTGAATGAAGCAAGCAGTCAGCTATAGTCAACCTCAGCCTTTGGATCTCGATGACACGCTCTCTTTTTCTCTCTCTCAACGCTCAATATAATCAACCACACGCACAAGACATATCTTGGAAAAACGAATAACATGAAACTTGAATTAGTGTTTTAGATTATTTTGCATTATACATATGAATTGTGCTCTAAACTTCCTCTTCACTTCAAAGTTTCTTGTTCCTCGTTTTATTCTCTTTCTCTCATTCGCTATATCTATCGTCTTGCTTCTTGTTCGATAAATATATTTATATATATATATATATAAATATATATCTCTCGCAAAATAAATGCATTAAATATCCAAATGGTCCGAAAACTGCTGCGTAATACATTTCATTTGGTCGATCCGTTTCAGATTGTATAGTACATGTTAGTGTGGCGACTAATGCTAATGGAACTGAATTCTTGTACACTTACTATGTCTAAGGTCAAATCTTGGTGTGTGAGACTTTCTTTCTCTCTATCTCCCTCTCTATCTCCAAAACTACACTCGCAAACTACTATCCATTCACCTGGACTATAGCTTATGGCTCATTTAAGATTTTCCGAATGCTGCAACGCAATCGAGAGAGCGTGAATAAGAATTCAACTGCACACATTCTATATATATACATATGTATAATCCTTTGGTAATCATCGCCGCAAATTTGACCCCAGCCAATCTAAATACTTAGATGTGCATATTTCCATTTCTCTTTACTCATTTAAATGAACAATCAGATCAACTCTCCGCTCATCTGCCATTTTAAGTCTTCTTCCTCTACATTTTATTGCAATGTTTAAGTTCAATCAATTTTATGTAAATGAATTCAAAAGTTGGTCCAACACCATCAATCATTAGTTTTTGATGAAATCACGGCCGAATTAATTTAGTTTATACGTTAGTTCTTATTAAAATCCATATTCTTTTTCCACATTATATAGTATTCACACTGTGCAAATGGTTTTGTTAGTTATAGTTTCTGGCTTTAATTCAATATACATGTATTACAATGGCGTTCATTTTAACTTTTCGAAATAGAACATTACTTATATTCGCACTTTGGATATAAGTGCTATTTGAATGCTCCAGAATAAATATAAAAGAAAAAAGTTTGCACCACATATTTTTTCGAAAAAATAAATACGATATCTTTGGTTTTACCATCAGTCACACACTACTACCCTCTGATCAAAAAGTTCTCGGAAATCGCGAATTAAATCGAGCGCGGTTCGGGTATGATCAAATTTATTTTTTTGTTAGGTTGGTAGTATCGACCTCGATATATGTGCAAAAATTGTGCGCAATATGTTAACTAGTATGTGTTTGACAGCGGTTTGTTTTGGTCAATCCGAGTGCGTTTTTCGATTTTTTACAATGGATAAATTGAATCGTTGCGGCGAAAGAGTAGCTCTTATTTTTCTCCAAATAATACTGCAACATAAAGTTTTTTATGAATAGTTTATTTGTTGTATTACAACAAATAAACCGTGTGAAAAAAACTTCATGTTGCAGTATTATTTGGAGAAAAATAAGAGCTACTCTTTCGCCGCAACGATTCAATTAACTGAACAAAGAGTGTGTTTGAAATTTTGTGTTTTGAATGAAATTTCTTGTGCGGATACATTAAAAATGATACAGAAAGCCTTTGGGGATATTTTCATCAAGAAAACAACAGCATACGATTGGTACCAAAGCATGACGATAAGGCAAAATTGCTTGCCAGCGCCACCAAATGACTCCATATGATTCTATATAGTTCTACGGTTGCCAGCGGTACTAATCTCTAATAGAGCGTTGCCGAGCTGTCATTATCGTCGTGCTTTGATTGGTACAAAGCATTCAAGGAGGGGCGAGAGACCATTGAAGACAAGCCTCGTTCTGGTCGACCATCAACTTCTGTAACCGAGGAAAAAGTCGAAAAAGTGAAGAAAATTGTGCTATCAAACCGTCGTGTTGGCATTAGAGACATAGCTGAGGAGTTAAACATCTCCTATGGATCGGTACAACACATTTTGGTTGATTTACTGAACATGACCCGCGTGGCCGCACGGCTTGTTCCAAAAGAGCTGACTTTTGAACAAAAAGAGCGTCGAGTGGCAGTGGCAAAAGAGATGCTTGTCAACGTGTCTAAAGACCCAAACTTCATAAAACGGATCATAACTGGTGACGAGACATGGATTTACGAGTATGACGTCGAAACCAGCCAACAATCATCCGAATGGCGCGAAAAAAACGAGCCGAAACCCAAAACAACCACGTCAAAGTCGGTCGAAAGTGAAAGTGTTGCTGACGGTATTCTTTGATTATCGCGGTGTTGTCCATTACGAATTCTTGCCAGAAGGTCAAGCCGTCAATAAAGAGTATTATCTGGCTGTTATGAAGCGTTTGCGCGAGAAAATTCGCTTGAAAAGACGAGAATTGTGGACCGAAAACTCATGGATTTTGCATCACGATAACGCACCATCCCATACGGCTCTCGTTGTTTGTGAATTCTTGGCAAAAAATCAAACCAAAGTCATTGCTCAAGCACCGTATTCGCCAGATATGGCTCCGTGTGACTTTTTTCTTTTCTCCAGACTCAAATTGCCACTGAGGGGTAAGCATTTGGACACAATTGAAAACATCAAACAAAAATCGAAAAAGGCCCTTAGCGAGATTTCAGCACCGGCCTATGCCAAGTGCATGGATGAACGGATCAAACGTTGGGAAGCATGTGTTAATTCTAATGGTAGTTATTTTGAAGGTGACAATAAAGATTTGCATTAAAAATGTATTCGAGTGTGTTTTTTTTACAATTTCCGAGAACTTTTTGATCAGAGGGTACATCCACCGGCTCCGCTGCAATTTTTTTCTACTCTTTTTTATTGTATGATATTGAATATTATTACACCTATTCAAAAAGGTATCAACCATGAATTTCTATATAAAATTCAGACAGCGTGACCGCCTGTATGTCACCCACCAAAACCCAAGGAATTTGAACCCAAAAGTTTCGATGGGCAATATCTTTACAACGAAGCCCCAGAGGGGTATGTGCACTGTGGGCCCAGTCAGACTAAATTGTATACTTTTAGGATTTTTCTATATAAAAAATCCATATGGATTAAAAGAAATCCTGAGGGATTTAAAGTCAAAATATTAAGACAATACTCGAAACTAATAACAAAATAATTTTCATTACAAAAAATAATTCATTTCGTTAGTTGTCATCGATTTTATACACTTGAGCATCGAGTGAATAACTCCCCGTTTAATCCAATAATCCAATAATCCAAAAATACCTTTATTGTCTTTATTTGATAATATGAATGGCAAAAATTTCGAAAAAAAATGAACAAAACCCGAAAGCTTGGATATGTTACGTTATTGAATTTTTAATTAATTTATTATTTAAAAGTTTGTTTATTATAATAAATAATTTTTTAAAAGTCCCTCGACCTAATGTCAAAAGGTTTTACTGTATATTCTTAACTTACCGAATTTCTTTTAGTAAATTTTCCCGCTAAATCGATTTCCGTTGTTAAATGATGTTTTTGTTTGTTTGTTTTTTTTTTTTTTTGTTTTCCTTGAATCGTTGTCGTTCCCATAAAATTTTGACAAAGGCCTCAAAATTGACTTGTCTTTGTTGGGAAAATAGAGAAAAAAAATGATATGTGTTTATTGATTATGTACAAAATAACAAGTTTCTTTTCACAGAAAGTTCTATATATGCTTAGTGCGTGAAATAAAAAATAATCAGCTATTATTGAAAACAGTTCTAATTTGAAATACATACTAAATAAACAAGGGAAAAGAGTATCGAAACGCCCATCAAACTCTTCAATTGACCAGTATTAAACGTTGAAAAAGTATGATTGTATCATAATCGATTTATTAATAGTAATTAACTATTTGATGTCTGTTCATATATCATTAAAAATGTTTGGCAAGCCATTTTTATTTTGTCTCAATAATTCATAAACTATTGTCACTATTTTTAAAGCGAAATGCTGGTAAATACCAATTGCCGTGTTCAAGTAAGAAAAATCGTCTTTGATTTCAGTTCGATATTTCTATGGATTTGATACGATTTTTCACTACGTCAATCAAGCAAGAGGCGATTTTTTACCATTTACATGGGAGGTTTGTATGAAAAACATGGAAGACCGCTAAAATGGCAAATACAACATATGTACAGGCGTACGATAGTGTCATTCCAGCGGTCTTCCGTGTTTTTCATACAAGCCACCCATATAGATGTCAAAAAATCTCAAAAAAATTTCTGTATCACAGAAAATTATGAAAATATTAAGAAAATTTGAAAGAAAAAATCGCTACGAACGAACGAACGAAAGGAGCGAGTACGACGTTTCCCCCTTTGCTAAGCGAAATAAATCCGATATACGGCGCTGATTTAAATGTCACTCTATGTCATTCCACAATGATACATTTTTTGGCTTGACAATATATAAGCTCTTCATTCAACATGCATAATTTTTGAACGGTCGAGTAAAAAAAAGAAACATATCATAAAATATTCTTCTTACGTTTATCATAAAAATTCTCTATATTTTAAATTTATTTGTTTAAAAATAACAATAATTTCAATTTTTTTTTTCATAGATTGAACAAGAATCTAATGTAAAAAGTAATACCAATGCGACACCTACCGTTAAAATAGAAAAGGAAACTTATTTGGAATTGTAACATTTTGGTCCGCCATAACAGCATCTTCGTTTTGCTTCTCTGTGATTGGTCAAGTAAAACGAAGATGCTGTCATGGTGGACAAAAATGCTACAATGGATACCAACTAAGTTTCTTTTTGCATTTTTACGGTAGGTGTCGCATTGTCATTACTATTTACATTGGATTCTTATTTAATCGATGAAACATTTTTTGTTGAAATTATTGTAATTTATAAACAAATTAATTTTTTTATAAAAAAAAATTTTTAATAAATTTTTTAATGAAAAATGATAGAAAAATATTTTATGACATGTTTTTTTTTCAACGATTCAATAATTATGAATGTGTATGCATTTTAAATGAAGAGCTTATATATTGTCAAGCCAAAAAAGTATTATTGTGAAATGACAGAGTGACATTTACATCAGCGCCGTATATCGAATTAATTTCGCTTGGCATAGGGGGAAATATTTTGACAGATAGTACTCGATCCTTTTTATTTTTCAAAATCTACGAACGAACGAACGAACAAATTTTTTTTTCCGATTTCTACGAACGAACGAACGAAAAAAATTTAAATTTCTACGAACGAACCAAAATGTTATTCCTATTGCCTACGAACGAACGAACGAACGTTCGTAGCCAACAGTATCCCAAACAAAATAAAAATTATGTGCATAAAAAGAGAGAGAGAGAGAGAGAGAGAGAGGTGCTAAGAATGTAGGTGTGGTTGAAATTCATGCAATTTTGTTGTCATCTTACTACATCATCTTTACACTGACTGAATGTATATATGTACAGAGCCGAATCGATAGTTCTCTCCCTTTTTCGTATTCCAGAGTGAGTAGAAGAAATGATATGGCATTAAATAGCAACCAGAAGCAAATCTGTCGATTTTTGTATATGCACTGATTTGATTTTGATTTTAAATGCATTGTTTCTGTTACATACATTCAAAGTCACATTTAAAATAGCATGCATTCCAATTCACACTTTCTCGTCTCAACACTCATGTAGACATACAATATATATATTGTCTATATATACAGGGTGGCGCATATAATAGGCTCACTCTTAGGGGGTGGGAATTTTGAAAAACCCTTTGGGGGGTATGTTGGGGGTAAAAAATAAAAAATTTCTATCTGAGCAGAATTTTGAATTTTTCCCAAAATTCGGAATCAGCATGAAAAATTACCTTAGAATCGATCCACGTTTTTTCACAAATTTTGGACAAAAAAAGTGTAAATTCGATCACTCAAATCTTATAAAGTCAATTTTACACTATTTTGGTCCAAAATTTGTGAAAAAACGTGGATGAGAAAAATATCGATTCTAAGGTAGTTTTTCATGCTGATTCCGAATTTTGGGGTTTCAGGTCAAAAAAATCATGTCTTGGGGGTTTTTGACCCCCGACCCCCTTAAGGGGTGGAAGGACTTGAAGGGCAGGGGTCCTAAAAAATTTCTCTCGTCATTCTGAACAACTTTGTAGTACATTATTTTTTGATCCGATGAACTTTTGAAAAATTCTATTATATGCGCCACCCTGTAACATATATAGACATAAACACACAAAATATCGATTTCATTTGATAGCATTATCACCCATGAATACGAAACATTGGTTGCACCAAATTCAGAGCCCGTCCAAGCATATATAATATTGGAATTCGGTTCAATAATGTTTATAGGTGTACTAAACGCAAGGGGGTAGACACGAATTATAAAACTTTGAATCATGTGAATCACAGTGAATCAAATAAATGATTCAAAAGTCAAATAAGCATCATTTTTGGTTTTACTAACATGATCGTTCAACAACTTCCAAATATTATCGCTGATTTTATTTGGAATTTACTACAAAAACACAAAATAGATAAAAAAATAATGAGTTAATACATTTAAAAAAACGTCAAGAAATCATTTTTTCGAAGACAAATAATCTTAATTGTTCAATAAATATTTCTTGTATGACACACAAATGACATTTCAAATGTCATCTAAACAATGTGAATCTTTTGAATCAAATGAATCATGTCTACCCCCTAGACTAAACGTATGCGTTCATTAAAAAGTAGTTCCAAAATATTGATGGCCATAGAATGGAAATGATAACGACTTGTACCTATGAGACGTTGCCTACGACTTTCTCCGATCTGTCTTCAGTAAGTTGTACAGCTTTTTCTAAATAAGAAAGAAACACGCATTCAGCCAAAAAATATTTTCTCTTGTATATAACAACAGTAATATTGTTTATAATGAGTTAGAATCGCGAATAGCCGCCTGTTTTGTACTTGTACAATTGTCAAAGCTTAAGCAGATTCTATGCATCTAAATATGTTCATTGTTCAGACTCAGTGCTTTCTTCGCTCCATTTTCAGTAAAGCTTTTTTCGATTCACATGAGATCAAAATAATATTATAACATTTTTGGATGTATATTCAAATGTCCGCATATGTGAAATTCGAAACTTGGGACTAGGTTTAAAAAATTGTACCAAAAATGTACTTAATTGTACCACAATTTTTCATAGGTGTTAATTTTTCTACTAATTAGTAGAATTTTTATTAGTTTATAAGTTTCATCATTTTTATTATTTTATTACTTAGTAGTTCTTAGTAGCCACTAAGAAGTAATAATTATTATTTTACTAGCTACTAACAACTACTAATTATTAGGTCTTAGTAGATTTTTTATTAGAATGTTAATAGAAACTTTATTAAAATTTTCACAGTTGCAACTTTCTCTCGCCCTTCAATAGCCAAATGACGCCTATTGATTCAATCACGATTGGTATTCGCTTACTATTCAATAGGCATCACATAGCAAGTTTATATGAAACTCTCGGAGACTCGGTATAGAGCACTTAAACAGTGAAAAAAGTCTAGATCGTGATTGAGATGATATGGAATGCGATTTTTTTCATTCAGAAAATTGAGTAGTATTTGAGAATTGAAGAAAAAAAATTTAATTATTTTTTTCATTTTTCGCGATTTTTTACCATCTATATGGGAGGCTTGTATGAAAAACACAGGACACCGCTGAAATGGCACTGCCGTAGGTCCGTATATATTTGGCGTTTGCCATTTCAGCGGTCTTCCGTGTTTTTCATACAAGCCTCCCATATAGATGGTAAAAATGAGCGAAAAATGAAAAAAATAATTAAATTTTTTCTCTTCAATTCTCAAATACTACTCAATTTTCTGTATCACCTGGTGAAATCAGAATGAAAAAAAATCGCATTCCATATCATCTAAATCACGAGCTGGACTTTTTTCACTGTTAAAGTGATCTATACCGAGTCTCCGAGAGTTTCATATAAACTTGCTATGTGATACCTATTGAATAGTAAGCGAATACCAATCGTGATTGAATCAATAGGCGTCATTTGGCTATTGCAAGGCGAGAGAAAGTTGCAACTGAGAAAATTTTAATAAAATTTCTATTAACATTCTAATAAAAAATCTACTAACATTCCAATAAAAAATCTACTAAAATTCTAATAAAAAATCTACTAAGACCTAATAATTAGTAGTTGTTAGTAGCTAGTAAAATAATAATTATTACTTCTTAGTGGCTACTAAGAATTACTCAATAATAAAGTACTAATGGAAAAAATCTACTAACTAATAAGAATTTTTATTAATTATTATTTATTAGTTACACCAATGATTTATTTTTAATTGTACCTTACTCGTTTGTATAATATTTGAGGATCAAATTTCGGAGCACTTCAATTTGCCGCACAACAGGCCAAAACAAAAACTCAAAGATATTTTTTAAATTTTTATGGCTGATAATAATTGTACCTAAAATGTACTTAACTGAACTTCAATTTATTTGAAAGTGTACCATACTCGTTTGTATAATATTTGGAGCTCACATTTTGGAGCATCTGAATATTGCCATAGAATGACAAAAATTTTGAAAGAACTATTTTTGGAAACTACAATTGTACATGCCATTTATGGCGGTGTGCTGACAATTCTTTTGGTTTTTTAAAACTCTCACTTTCACTAGGAAAGTGCTTTCCACTTCTGAATGTATGTTTCGAAATAATGAAAATGAGACGGCTTTTTGTAGCACATGTTAAACTCTCAGTTGCATTTTTCCTTGCTTTTCAAGTCGCGCGCTAGTAAATGGCACCGAAGCAAAAAGGAATAAAAGAGGAAATAGTTTTTTCTATGCAATAACTTTCACTGAACTTTCACAATTCAAGTCGAGCTTGAATTGGCTGTTGTTGGTATTGCTGTTTTTGCAGTTGTCGTAGTTTTCGTCGATAGAACATGTAGATAGCGATTTAAAAGTTTTTTTTGTTGTTTTCAAGTGACAGTGTATATAGTCGACTGGAATTGGTTAATGGTTGCGTATCCCCAAATCGGTGAGTATATACTACTTAGCTCGCGGCGCAATCAGTGGTATATAATTCGGTGCACGTGCTTTTTTGTATATAAGCGAACCATCAGCGTTTACGCATCAAATTATTTTTGGCGGTCTTTTCGATTTCATTCTGCACTTATATAAATTAGTAGACGCAAAAGTGATTTTTATATCATTTTCTTAGACATATTGATAATTAATTTATCTTAGAGCTACTTCTATAGGTTTTTTGTCGTTTATTCATTTGATAAGCATATGTATTGGCACACAAGATTCCAACTAAAGCCAAGCAAAATAAGAGTGAAAGCGAATGCGTCGCATTCAAGCGAATTTGCACAATATATTCGTGCGTACAAAGAGATGTGATTTGTCTTTCCCTCTCGTGCGCGTCCGTGTTGTATCCGATCTCCACATAACGACAGAACGACGAATATGTGATATGTTTATCCGTGACACGGTCTTTCTCACTTGCGCGCTCTCATTCTCTCTGTCTCGCTAACTCGGTATCTTTTGGTAATACAGCTGCATATGGCGAACATCTATAGCGCGTTTTACAACAGCAGCACCGACATCAGCTTGAATAATTTTGTTAGTGTCGCTTCGCTCTTTTTGTCTTTCTCTTCTTTTTTTGTATATACGAGTAGCAACATATTGAAAAATGCTCCGCTCGACGCTTATATACTCGGCTCTAAATATATAACATATTCGCGAAAAACATGCTGGTTAAGCACGTGGATCTCGGTTCAAATTCGTTTTGTATACAAAAACAGAAAGAAAAGCCGGTATCGAGAATTGTATTGTATCTTTTTTGATTGAACTGTTCAATTACGTTGTAATGTTTTTGATGGAATGAATGAATACATTCAACTCAGCATGGAACACTAACTAATATTTCAACATTTACCGTGCTTTTCGAACGAAATACGGCCAATGTGACGATTGAGCAAGAAAAAAAAAGAACCACAAAGCAATCACAATCTTAGAATGCTCAATTGAAGCGTGATCTCTTTGCCAAAGGCCACATACTCAATTCAAATATCTAGTAGACAGACAATATCTAGTATATTATTGCACAGAGTCTCTCACCAACGCCAAGAAATATACTAGGGATATACTTGCTGTGAGCTGCGCCTCTTTCTTTCTATTTTCGCATTCATCATAGTCGTCCAATAAAAATGGTCGCATGTTGACTTTAATGAATTCCATGATCGTTAATTGAATCACTAAACAAAGTAAGTTTATGGCCGTTATTATTATTTTAATTGATGAACCATACTTTTTCTTATATTGTTTGTGTCATCTTTTTGTTTAACATTCTTCTCTTCGACATATCGCTTATGCAGTAACAGAAACAGAAGCAACAAAACGAAGGAAAAAAATCATAAATAAGTACAAAACAAATGAATTGAATGAGATAAAACGACTAGCTTGACAAGTGGGGCAACGAACGGCAACAAACCGATGACAATAAAAATTGTAATTTAACCAAATAACAAAAATAAAAACGAGAAGCACAAGCAACAACAAACGCGGAATAAATTTAAATTAGCGCTTTTTAGTTGTTATTATTTTTCCTTCATTGTATGTATATACATGCAATTGTTGCGCATTTGTGTAACGTAGCACAAATGTTTTTTGAGTTTTGATTAATGTATGAAATGATTTTGCTTAAAAGAAAAATTGATTTCTATCGGTCATCTATAACAATAAGAAGATCAATAGAACGTTGGAAGTATACGGAATCCTATCAAACATGACATGGTGTACTGAAAATCATTATAAAATGCATTTATTTTTTGCCTATTTATGTAAAATTGGTCGCGTAATTATTCAAAAGGTATATTTTGAGTAAATTTGTCCACTCTTTTATGTCAATTACTTTGATGTCCATACCCTGAAATCGCTTTACTGTGCTCTTGTACAGTCAGTTTTGGAATATGGCAGTTTAGTGTGGCTACCGTATCATGGCATACACAAAAACAAAATCGAGTCATGCCTGCGTCAATTCACAATGATCGCACTCAAAGAATATCCAAATATTTCAAACAACTTTCAAATATCATCATACAGCACTCGTCTAGGCAAACTCAACATGCAGTCACTTCAAAGACGCCGTATAAATGCCTCAATTTTATTTATATTCGATCTACTGCATAATAAAATTCATTGCCCATTACTGAAGATGAAAATCGCTCGAAATCAAAATGAACGCAACCTGAGAAGTGTCGAATATTTCAAGATCAACGACAAAGTGTTGAGAATCAATCTATCTGTGCCACTCAATCAAATGTGCAAAATGTCAAATAAAGTCTACGAACTTTTCTCAAGTCAATTGAACAGATCAACATTCAAAAATCGTCTTTTAGCTTTAAGTGATGATCACTTTTCCAACTTGTCATTAGTATCTAATCATAATACTGTTTTCTTGAACGATCAAATGTGATCCATTGTGATATCTATTTTATTTTAATGCTTAACTCATTGTATCCAGTGCAATTTGAAAATTTTATTTTACTACAAATATTTATTTATTTATGATCAAATTATTTTTTGTATTATATCTCAAATATTGAAAAGATGTGGTTTTTAACGGTGATCAGATGTAATATGCATCGTTGATTCATACCTTTTTCCCACCAATACATGTATATAAATATGTACAAACTCAAACATGATTCAGCCAGTATTTGGCGGTGAATAAAGATTATTATTATTATTATTATTATATGATGAAATGTCCAATTCATTTGGAATAAGAAAGAACAAAAACACGAATACAGATACAAAAGAATCACATAGCAGCGATTCTTTTTTAGAATTGAATGCAAACGGAATAATAATTATTATAATTTACTATTCGAATATTACTAATCTTATCGTTTTAGCTCAAATGCCGATGAATTTCGTCCATTGGCAAAAATAAATGATTGCTATACTTTTCAGAAGAGATTTTTCGGAGCAATAAAATCTGAACGTTCTTCCCTTCTTTATGCATGAGTGTGTATTTCGGTCTTTGTGTGTTTTCTTCATCGCTGTCGTGTGCCATTTGATTTTTTTTTTATTTTAATATATGATCGACCAAGCAGAAGTGTTCTATCAGTATTTAATTTTCTTGACTAATTAGAATTTATGGTTTTCGTTTCGTTAAATCTGTTTTTTTTTTGTTAACTTCTATATAATTTTCGTTTTCTTTTATCATTCTTCAAAATTTTAATTACATTTCAATTGAAAATAAGTATGTAGAAGAAAAAGAAATCACGAAATGTGACATCCTTTGGGTGGTATAGAATGGGTGGATAGAAAAAGTCAATTGATTCATTTATATGCCGTTCTTTATATATAGCACTAGTAGTTATCACTTGTTTAACTGTATCAACCAACCCCTATAAAATTATGATAAATTTTTGATTTTTCTTCACTATAGTTTTTATCTTTTAATTCTCTAAATACACGTTATTTACGCGCATTTCGAAAAAATTCGAACTTTTTATTTCAAATAAATAACAAAAGAAAAAAAAACCAACCACTCAAAATGAATACCAAAAGTTCTAAGTCTTAACCATGAATCATGTAGATATGCGTGCCTTATTATAAGCAGTAATTGTGTTTAATATTCCGCCGATATGGTTTTATAGTCTTGAAATGTCTCTTCAAGTAATGGGTTATTAATTTTTTTATTCAAATCAATTATTCATTAAATGCGTTCATGCATCGTGTCTACTGCTAAGCACTATAAGCTGTGAAAAATCTAAAAGAAATGGTAGTTCGGAAGGTTCGTCCATTGATTATGACCGAATCAAATAAAGTATACTATTAGTTTTTTTTCAGTTTTCGAAACAAAATAAGAAGGATATCATTGCCGAAAATAAATTTTTAATTTTCATCACATTAATTTTCTATTCGATTGCTTCGTTCGAAACTCTTTTAATTTTATATGAATATGAATAAAAAATTACCATTAAGTTTTCATGATGTACAGAAACAACAAAAGTCATTAGAAAATTCAGTAGTGACTACTCTGAGAATTTTTCCATTTTAATTAAGTTAATTCAATTCTTATTCATATGCATGATCGAAAGGGGATGACTCTTGATCTCTTGTTGGACATACTTATGTGTCGCAGGTAGTAAGAATAGTTCTTTTATAATATTATACGAAAAAAAAATTTGTAACATGTGTAATATACCTTCTGTTATTTAGTTGTGTGTTGTGTTAAAATGGTAGCGGCAGTTATATTTTTTTTTGTTATTGGTTCACCATGAATTTTATGTTTGATTACACTCTCTCAAACAAAAAAAATTACCACCGCTTTGGCTTTTTCGTTGAAATAATTAAACAGTGTAAGACTTGCAAATGGTCACTATTTTCTGTTCTATAAAAATGTGAGCGTTTACACTATGGGAAACGGACTGTATCTCAATCAATGTGTTCATTGGTTTATTTACTTCCTCATTATTGACACAATGCTATTGCTGTAATTTTATTGACGAGATTCGGCTTCATTGTTCTATTCAATAACAAACAATAGATCAAATGTGTTTACTTGTATTGAAAAGGTATAAATCGGTTAATTGATTTCCCGCGAATTTCATTAGTTTTTCCATTTAAAATGCAAAATTATAATTTTATTTCTCTTCATCAGTCACTCACATGCAAGATATTTGTTTTCACTTTAATTTATCTTTTATCTAATATATATTATAATTACTGTCTGTTTTTTTAATTTCTTTAAATTTTCAATTACATTTTATGCAAATTGCCTCATATCATACTGGAATTAGAGACGAATCCATAAATTTCCACTTCGAATTATGTTTGTCAAACAAAAATGTCAATGGTCTTAATGAAATTAATGCACATTTTTATAAGACATGTAAAATGTATAATGTTTATTGCCGAATATCGATTTGATTTTTATTTTTTTTTATCTCGGCATTCATACATTCTCTCACTTATATATTCATGTATGAATAAAATCGACTGAAGACCGTATTTTCAGAGTTACCGTTGATCACGATTAAATTTAATAAATCTTGTGATCTAATTAATTGGTAAATAGAGAAAATATCTCGTTTCTTTCGACTGTGCACCCGTTATCTTTCAGATATTTGTTAAAAGACTGAAAGCGATCAAGAGTCAGGAATAGGACAATGAACAGTGGAAAAATAACAAAAGTAAACACGACAACACATAAGTGGATGACAGTATGACGATGTCGACGACAATAACAAAAAAGCACACGAATTTGAAATTCACATCCGTTCTATTTGACGTGGCGTCGTTAACTGACTGTAACATTGATTCATAATTTTCTATTTTCCCATTTTTAATTTCAAGAGCTGTTCCGTCGGTATGTACATTCGATTCAGATGAATGTATGCGTGGCTATATATGTATGCATATTGTTGCTCCGTTTCAAAAAGCCTCTATGTATTGCTGTGCTGCTGTACTGCTGTTGTTGCTGCTCCATGCACGCTGTATTTGTTCTCGGTGATCAATGCTTTGCCTTTTTATTTCGGTTATACAGATTTTGAGTTGTGTGTATTGAACTCCGCTGCCGTTGCTTCCTCAATCACTTGGCTTTGGACTTGTGCTTCTTGTGTGTACTTTATTTTTTGTTGCTGCTGTTGTTGTTTTTTGAATTCCTCGATGGTATGTAGATACATGTGACCGTTTTGTTTTGAAATCTTTTTTATGCTTGCAACAGTTTCAATGCCTCATAACAAACGAATAACAGGATTTAATATAATTTTGCCTATTTAAATGTTAAAGTTTAATTTATTTATATTTTTTGTCTATCGTACATATAGGTGTACTTTGGTCTTTACAATAAAACATTCATTGTCTTCTCTCACATACGGCCTCAAGGGAAAAATTTAAGGGGGGGGGGGTCTAATTGAAAAAAATTGAGAGGGGTAAGCTAAAAATTGAAGTGTATTTTGCGAAAAGTATACTTTTTTCGTTTTTTTTTTTTTGCTCTTCACTTTTTTGGCGAAAATCCCTAGCAAATTAAAAGAATTTTTCTTACATTGAACACAAAACTGAGGAGCAAAAAGAAAAAAAAGGTCCTCACTTTTTTGGCGGAAATTGAAAAAATTCTTTGAAAATTTTCAAGGGTTAACACTTCGTCAGGGGGGGGGGGGGTAATCGGACCCCTCGGACCCCTGCTGAGGACGTATGCTTCTCTGCCTCATTATCATTCGTTCAAGTTTTCGTTCATATGCCAAGAAACTAACGTACCAAATGTCATATCAATTAACCAACAACTCTGTGCAAACTTTTGTTATTTTAATGTTGCACTCCGTTACAACATATTCAATACAATGATTATTTGCATACGTCCGCCGTAGAATTTTATCAAAATCAAATAAAGTAACTATCCTTCTCACTCAATGTTCAATTATTAGTTGCTCAATAGTTTGATTCCTGCAAGAACATTTTTTGTTCTATGGACAACCTGAACTCAAACAAGCATCTATATATTCGAAATGTGTCGATACTATTCAGTGCTTGGATAGAAAGATACATACAAGTGCTTCACCCAATAAATACTTTAGGTTCTTATAGGTAATACAGCAGCTCGAGAATGGTTCCAAAATTGAAAATCTCAAGAACGAGCATACGGTATTTTTTCAACGAATTGTTATATTTGTTTGATTTAAATGTAGTAAAATATCGACTACTTACAATAATCCTTACAAAGTGAAAGAAACTTACCCATCCTACAAAATCTGATATAAACTAAAGAGTAGAACCGAATTGCCTATGTATATATTGTATATGTAAACAACACGACTTTTTGCGTCAGCGATAACTTGTTGTTTTCGCCACTGACATTTTACACCAATGAGAGTTTTAAAAAGTGTGAGAGATTCCTTTTCCTTCTATGTGCAGACGCACAAACGCTTTATGTCTTTTTGCAAACATCTGTTCCGTTGATATTCCGTTTTTTTTCTTGTTGTTGTTGTTGTTGTTTGTAGTATGCTTGCTCTTTCTCTTCAAAAATTGCACCTTACTGCACGATATTTGGCTGTACTGTGGATAGTAAAATTCCGCCACTATTCAATTGCACGCACGGTCGTGGCAACAAGCGTGGTCAGTCAGAGCAATTCGATGTACCACTTTACGCAAGGAATAAGGAACGTGAAGCTCATTGTTTCTAGAGCAGTTATACTGGCTTATATTTCTACTCGTTGGTTTTTTTTTTCTATTGTAGTTGTTTGCTATTTTACGATTTATCTTTATGTTCATTCTCAACACAATTGGCACAGGAGATTGAAATCAATACTTTTGATATTTTGATCACATAATCATGACGGAAAATGGTAAATGGGTTCTTCTTCCGATCGGTTCTGTTCTTTTAATCCATTAAAGGACCACATTTCAAAGAGATAAAGCATTTACCCTGTTTGTTAAAAAAAATTGTTATACGCATGGAACATTTCGCATAAAGCTTCATTGCCACTACTTAGACATAAATTCTTCTGAAAATAGACAATGTATTCAACGTTTTTTATCTCCCAAATGTATTATAATAAAAGTTAATTTCAATAGTTTTTTTTTTTCAACCCATCCGATGTTAATTATTTGTTATCTCTGCGTATATTATTATTATTCTGAGATAATGGTCAAGTGGTTCTCCGTTCACCACTAAAATATTGATGGAAAATAATAATAATGAACACCCTTTTATCACCCACAAAACGCGAATTAGTACCGTATAAAGCAAACAATGGCCCCGCATAGTTGACAAGTAACGGGTGAAAATCAACAGAATCTTCATGATTGCAATCACCATTGGTGATAAAAAGGGTGGAAAGTCAATTCCAAACAATTCGCACATCAGACAATATAACCTTATGTTGACTTTGTTTTCAATCTTTACGAAGAACCTTTTTCAGAGTGCAATCGAAATAAGCATCAATAGTCTAACAATAAATGCTTCTATTCATTCAAAAAAGGCGTTAGGAAATATTTAGATGGAACACAATACAAGCAAAGATTACACAATAACATTTAAACTATATGTTCCTTTGTGATATACTCATGCAAAATTTCTAATCAAACAACAAAATGAATATCACAGAGTGTGTTTGTGTGCGATAATAATGCTATAAAGTTTGGTTTATTCTAAAATAAAAAAAAACTAATATTGTCCAGGTTAATAGTATTGTATTATTTTGTATTGGGAGTTTACATTAGTTTTCGGCATAGTTGATGAAAAAGGAAGTTTTCAGTATTAATTATTAGTATACAGAAACTGATGAGGCTGAAATTTATTGAGTTTTTTAATATTTAGTTTGACAAATAGCAATAATATTGTATGTATATTCAAAATTGAAGAATATGGGGACGTGTGATTCATGATGATAAGGCCGGAAATTAATACACACTCCCAATATTTAAAAATCATAAAAAACTAACCCGAAATGAAAACATAGTATTTGAAAACATAAATTGTTATGAATAATATGACTCACTTTATCTGCCAAACATAATCAATGTTATCAAATGGGGCCGAAAATATTGATCATGATATGAAGCGAAGGTGAAATTCTTTGTTTTGCATTAGAGATGTAAACGAACGTTTATATTCGTCATAAATACTACCGAATACGAACCAGAATTTTTCTATGAATGAATTCAAACGAACGCCCTACTCCTATTATACAAATACGAATACAAACGAACACGAATCAGAAAATTATTATATGAACGAACACTTTTTCTATGGAAGCATTCGTTTACATCTTTATTTTGCATTCATAAAATATTGTTCCACATTAAAAACCTTTGATTTTATTGATTGTTCAATAGGTAAACTTAAACCTTTGGATTGGAGTCGTATGTCCATCACAATGACAAATACGCATAAAATTATATGAAAATGTATTGTCTTGACTTTTCTTTATAGAAAACACAATTCTAATCAATTTCTAGTCAATATTAGAAATGTAAATTTTAAAATAATTTTAAACACAACTCAATTACGAATTTACCATTTAAAATTATTTCATTTGACCACATAAATTTATATGAACAATAAATAACGGCCACAGAAAAAAAATGAATTTGTAAATATTTTCCAAATATGGTTAGCCAAAGTTCGCTTCATTACTAATTATCATTAAACATCATCGGCGCGGCCAAGTGATATGAAAAGTTCAAATTGAGTCAATGAGAGTGACAGCAAGAGTAAGAGTGAGAGTAGTTAAATATGCAGGAAAGTTCTCCATGGCTCTTACGCTGGTCTCAATGATATAACGCCACAAATGCACGTTGTATGGACACAATAGCGATGTTGATTGTATGTGATATGCATCGTGCTGTGTGCACACTGCACCGTTGTGAAAGAGAATATTGAGTGTTCGTTCCCCTTCAATCCAATGTGACTTGACTTATGAAATCGCCCTTGTTTGGCATTTCACATCACATACAAAGCGTACTATTTAATAATATTTTATGTTAATTTCCTATTTATTATGATTCCATAAAATTTATTCTTTGTTGATAATAAATCACAATAAATTATATATTCTTGTTTTTCATCATCTGTGTGACAACGATCGTAGCAAATCGAATGCCAACGGAATATTCTATATATTTATATTGTTTATGAATTTGGAAAGGCAATAGAATCGAAAAGAGAATATGAGAGAGATACTTCGAAGATACCTCGATATATTGTCCCAGTACAGTACATGAGCACAAATACATGTTTTAAAACCTTTTGTGCCCAATGTCGCCTGTACATAATTATAATTACCTCAAGCCTTTAACATGCTTTGTCTCATTTATATGTAAATGAGCTTAAATTCATGTAATTAATGCTTCACAGCACTTCTCGTCTATCGCTTTTCATTTCAACCCCTTGTGTTGTATTGGAGAATTGACCGCCAATCCTTGTTCTCTCTGCCAATGTACAATTGGGTAGCGCATAAGACTAAGGCTTTTGCCGGTTCGCATTTCAATATGGACTTTTATCATTTGATGAATATCTTCGTTTTTCAGTGAAACAAAAATGAAGAGACACTACATTCACGTGCGTAGTATCATAGTAAAATACTGAAAGTGCACGATAATTGGTGTTGACATAGCCTGCGATTACACCAAGAGTGGCGGCCGTTTCTGAAGAATAGAAGTCGGACAAGAGATGCATGTGTCCATGTCTCCGATTTGCGTTATGTGGTTTTGGGTTATTGCGTCATCGCATTGTATGAGAACCGTTTGGTGTGTTTGTGTGTGTATGTATGGTATGTTCTTCCTC